GACCCATAAACGAATGACCATAATCTATTAATGTATTTACTGTCTTGTGGTCCGCCTTTAACTCCATGCTGCGGCTTCGAAATGGCAAAGTCGCAAGTGGGGTTGTAATATCCCAGTCAACAAAGATAAATGAGTGGGAAAAAATCGTGTAGTCCCGGATTTTTGCACAATTGTAGGTAAGACCCTCCTGAACAACATACTAAAAGTCCTGACCAGTGGGATGTGAGTGAGCTATGGGGGGAGGGGGTTGTAAATGTTCATTTTTTAGTTTTCTGTAAATATCAAGGAAAACGGCTCTATCTAGAGGAAAAGTGTAAATTAGAAGTGTAAAGTTTAAAAAAAAGTGTAAATGTACAAAATAAAGAGCATTAAATTTCCAACAAAAAGCATTTTGTACATCCAATCAATACTTAACAAGATACAGGGTATAAAAAAAACTTTCAGAAAAACTAGTTTTATTGTGGTAAATTGATGATTTTATATTACATCAAGGGATTTACACTGATAATAAATGTAGTAAATACTCGTATATTCAATACTTGTAGTACAACACACACTTGTAGTCAAAAGTAATGAAAGAGTAAGGCTGGAAGCTGAGAGACCAACTGGTGGTAACCATTGTTGAAGTCAATTTAACGACTGGGAGTGCGTGGATCTCGTTCAGGTCAATGTTGAAGTGCATTCATAGAACCATCCCATTACTTTAGATCTAGGGCACCTGTATGGCCTACTTCAGTGGCAGATGATGCATTATGGACTTTCTTGTCCTCCCGCCCAAGGCTTTGTTGTTTAGAGCTGAAGCAGGGGTAGTATACCACCCATGCTGTGGAAAGAATTGAATCCATCGATGGTTTACGTATTAAAATTGGCATTGTCGAAGACGTATGACAACATATTTCCTGTGGAGCAGGCTCTTCAGGGTGGTAGACGAGTGATAGCTCTAGCTGTTGAGCTGATAATAGGTTCCACTGAACCACAAACTCGCGAGCAGTTGAACAAGGTTTTTACACCAAAACTTTCTGTGTACATACAGGGCAACACATGTGCAGGAGAGAAGACATAAAAGATCGTGGGCGAATCGCAGCGATCAGAGCAGTTATGGCAATCAACTTCTTTTCTACTCTGGGTTGATCTTTTATTTTTTGAGCATTCCATAAAGACCCGAAGTGATTCAAGTACCATTCCTTCTGCACTACTACTGAATTGGTCAGCAGTTGGGAAAACGCAATTTTCATATGCCATTGTCTCAATATCTTCCAATATTATTTTGCCTGTGCTTTCAATAATCCTCTTCCGTTCTGATTCTGTATGGTGCTGCTATGAGCATCATACGTATTTTTTGTATGATGTCGATCCAGAGTTATTTTGAAGGATGAGAGTAGGCTACCCAGCGCTTGGGCCCGCCAATCAGAGAGCAGCATTTCATCCCCACCCCTCCGTAGGCCACGCCCCCTAGCCAATCAGAGAGCAGCATTCCACCTAGGCCACGCCCCCTAGCCAATCAGAGATCAGCATTCCCCCAGCCAATCAGAGAGCAGTATTTCCCTTAAGCCATGCCCCCTGGTGTCCCACGTGGTCTATCCTCACACGTGTTCTAACCTCACTTTTATTTTCCCGCCAAATAACGTAACCTCATCTCCCAATGCAAATATTGTAAATGTGATTGGTAAGGATTGAACCTGTGAACCTCTTGGATCAACGACTAACACTACTCCCGCTATGATACATCACCATAACAAAAATCAACATTTCACCCCGACCAGAAATAAAACGTTTGGTGATTGGTAAGGATCGAACCCGTGGACCTCTGGCTCATACATAGTCTCATACACAGTCAGCTACTAGAAAGAAACATTATTCAGATTACCCATCACCCCAAAAATACATGGCATCTATGAAATGTAAATTTAACATCCAACATTTTGGTAGCCTTTACAAAGGCCGTTTTTATGCTCAATGGTAAAGTTCCATTTAAGCCTTCTTTCAGTTGTTTTTAACATTGGATACGTGAATTATCATTTGTTTTGTCATTGTTATGGACTGCTGTATATTATAGGTATTTGTAAATAAGACGCAACAAATATTGTAATTGTGATTGGTAAGGATCGAACCCGTGAACCTCTGGCTCATACACAGTCTCATACACAGTCAGCTACTAGAAAGAAACATTATTAAGATTACCCATCACCCCAAAAATAAAAAAAATTTAAACATGACATCTATGAAATGTAAATTTAACATTCAACATTTTGGTGGCCTTTACAAAGGCCGTTTTTTATGCTCAATAGTAAAGTTCCGTTTAAGCCTTCTTTCAGTTGTTTTTAACATTGGATACGTGAATTATCATTTGTTTTGTCATTGTAATGGACTGCAGTATATTATAGGTGTATGTAAATAAGACTCATTGGACTTTGGAAGCAAAGATTGTAATTGTGATTGGTAAGGATCGAACCCGTGAACCTCTGGCTCATGCACTGTCTCATACACAGTCAGCTACTAGAAAGAAATATTATTCAGATTACCCATCACCCAAAAAAAAAAATAAAATAAAACATGACATCTATGAAATGTAAATTTAACATCCAACATTTTGGTGGCCTTTACAAAGGCCATTTTTATGCTCAATGGTAAAGTTCCGTTCAAGCCTTCTTTCAGTTGTTTTTAACATTTGATACGTGAATTATCATTTGTATTGTCATTGTTATGGACTGCAGTATATTATAGGTATTTGTAAATAAGACGCAACAAATATTGTAATTGTGATTGGTAAGGATCGAACCCATGAACCTCTGGCGCATATACAGCTTCATACACAGCCAACTGCTAGGAATCAACATTATTCAGATTACAATCATCCTAACAATACATAACGTCTATGAAATGTTGATTTAACGTTCAAAATTTGGTGGCCTTTACAAAGGCCGTTTTTTATTCTCAACGGTAAAGTTCCGCTTGCGTTCTTTCGGCTGCTTTTAACATTGGATTCGTGGATTATCATTTGATTTGCTTTTGTAATGGACTACAGCATGTAGATATATATGAAATAAAATAAAAATTGAATGTTTTTTTTTTTTTTTTTAGATAATTAAACACATTGCCTAGTATATAATGGTTTTACTACTATGGTTTAGTACTATATATCTACGATTTAAATTTACATTTCTCTATCTAAAAATTAATAATGTCTAAGAAGAAATGGTGGTCATTTGTAAAGTGTTGTTTAATGGCTATTACTAATATCTTTTATTTACATTAATCTAAACAGTGTTTGCAAACATTATATTTCTACAAATTTTCTTCTTCTTCTTCTTCTTCATCACGGTTCTGTAACAAAACAAGGAAATGTTAATGGCGTGTATCCTGGTTGCTGATTGGTTGTAATAAGCTTGTACCTGATTGGTCATAAATAGGTGATCTGTTGTGTGATTGGTCAATTTTTGCTATTTATACTTTCCATTACTAATTTTCTTTCACTTTGCTTTCGGCAATTGAACGTGTTGGATGTGTGCTCTTGTGTTTGACGTTTTGAGGTTATGTTTGCAAGTTATTTCTAGTGTTAATGTTAGTCTGATTATTTATTGTGTAGTGGATCAGTTTTATAGTAAGTGAACATTGTTTCTTTTGTGTAACGTGTTGTGCAATCGGTGTGTTATATTAAGCTTTGTGTGCGCGCAGCTGTGCCCCCACCACATCTTGTGTCCCTGTGTTGTATTGTGCAATCCGTGTGCTATACTTAGCTGTGTGCGCGCGCAGACTGTGCCCCCACTAGAACTAGTGTATCTGTGTCCCTTTCACTTTGCTCTAGGCATCTGACTACGATGGATGTTAGTATGGCTGATAATGTATCCGATGAAGTAGTTGAACCCGTTAAAGTAGTTGAGCCTGTTACTTTGATTAGTACTGATCAAACTTATGTAAATAAATTTAGATTGTATGGAAGTAAAACAGTATTTAAATTCACTAATCCGCCTCCAGAGACTAACGAGATTGATTGGTTGAGACAAGGGTTTGCGCAAATTGTAAATAGTATGAAAGAGCAAGCATTTGAAAACGATCAACTTGGGTTTACTCTACAAAGTCTTAACTTGAAATCAAAAGCACCAGGCTATGTAAATTTTCGCCCTGCTAGTGAAATTGATGAAAATGTTTTGTGGCAAATCTTTGGTGGTATTGTGCAATCAAACTCTGAAACTATAAAATCTACTGACACCTTTAAAGTGGAATGCACTAGAATTAACCTTCCTGTAGGTTCTGGGAGAGTAAGGCCTGGGTTTTACAATACGTTTGATGAGGAATGCAAGTCAAGGCGGGGAATTGTTGTCATTAACAATAAAGATAAATTGTGTTTGCCCCGTGCAATTGTAGTGGCTGTTGCTAATCTAACTAAAGATCCTGAATATAAAGCTGTGAGGCAAGATAAGGCAAATAGGCAAACAGTTAGGGCCCAGGAACTTGTTCGTCGAGCTAGGGTTGAAATGCCAGAGGGTGGAGGTGGGATCCCGGAACTTGAAAAATTTCAGGTGTTTTTGAGGGACTACAAAATTGTTGTGTACAACTATGACAGGAAAGGACGTGATGTGTACTTTGAAGGAAATGTAGAGAACCCCAAGTTCAAAATTAACTTGTTGTTTCACAATGGACACTACAATGTAATTAATTGTTTGACTGCTGCTTTTGTTTGCAATTATTTCTGTGAAGTTTGTCATGTACCCTACGATCATAAAAGAGAGCATCGTTGCTCAAATATTTGCCCACAGTGCCAGACCATCTCACCCCCTTGTGTAGCGGAGAGTGGTGGTATTTTATGTAATAAATGTAACATGACCTATCGAAACCAGGAATGTTTTATCGCGCATCAAGCTGACAGATGTAAAAATGTAAAAAAATGTCTCGATTGTGGAAAATTGGTTTGGATTAGAGATCGCCCCAAGCCTCACAAGTGCGGTGAAGTATATTGTAAACCTTGCCGTTCATTTGAAGACCCTAACCACAAATGCTATATGAAACCTGACACGAAAAAGCCAAAATCAAAAGATTTTCTGTTTATTTTCTTTGACTTGGAAACACGCCAAGACGAGTCCCTGCCCTCAGATCCCGATTCTAAATTGCATCAAGTGAACTTGTGTGTCTCACAACAGTTTTGCTATCAGTGTATTGAGGCAAAATTTTGTATGGCTTGTAAAAATCGTACGCGAGTGTTTAATTCTGAACCAGTAACTCAGTTCATGGACTATGTGATGCAAGTCCGTAAAAATTTCAAAGATGTTTGTGTCATTGCACACAATGGGCAGGGCTTTGATTTTCAATTTTTGCTCAAGTATGTTTTGGAGGATACAAAGTTTACTCCGAAACTTGTAATGCGGGGAACTAAGGTCATTTTGATGGAGATTGACAATGTGAGGTTTGTTGATTCATTAAGTTATTTCCCTATGCCTCTAGCTTCACTGCCCAAGGCCTTTGATTTGCCCCCGGAAAAGAAGAAAGGCTATTTCCCCCACCTCTTCAACACACTTGAGAATCAGAATTATGTTGGCCCTATGCCGGCAAAGGAATTTTACTGTCCAGAATCTATGTTTGAAAAATCACATGAAGATTTTGAAAATTGGTATAATGATCAGGTTGCAAACCATGTTACATTTGACTTTAAAAAGGAAATCCTCGAGTATTGTTTGTCGGATGTTGATATCTTGGCCCAAGCTTGCTTAAAGTTCCGTTCAATTTTCCTGCAAGAGTGTAATGTTGACCCGTTTCTCGAGGCTGTTACCATTGCCAGTGCATGTAACTTAGCTTTTCGCAGGAACTTTTTGAAAAAAAATACTATTGGCATAGTTCCTAAAAATGGTTATAGGCTTACAGACGCTCAGTCGGCAATTGCGTTACAGTGGCTATCGTGGGAAGAGGAGAAACGTGGAGTTAGAATTGAACACGCTGCTCGTGGAAAAGAAGTTAAGATCAATGGAATGAAAGTTGATGGGTATGATGGCCAACATATTTATGAATTTCAAGGCTGCTATTGGCACGGAAGCCCCAAATGCTTCCCCTATGACCGTGAACTTGCTTTGAAAGAGGACCCCTCTGACTCACTTCACTTGCGATATGAACGGACCAAATCGAAAATAGCAAAGTTAGGTGATAACGTTGTACAAATGTGGGAATGTGAGTTTAGGCAGTTAAAAAAGACAGAAAACCTAAAACATCTAGACAAGTTGCCGATCCTCAACAATTTACCCCTGAATCCGAGGCAAGCATTTTTTGGTGGTAGAACCGGGAACGCCAAAACCTACCACAAGTGTGTGGAGGGAGAAACCATTGAATACGTGGATGTATGCTCTCTCTATCCCTGGGTATGTAAATATGGCAAGTACCCTGTAGGCCATCCGAATATCTACGTAGGAGACAAAGAGTGTAGACAGAGAGGTCTCAATGTTGAAGGCTTATTAACACGTTCGCTGCTGAGCGCTAGATGCCGGGACGGCGCCAGTTGCTGAACTACGCTCGGCCGCTGCGTGACATTGCCACCGATACACTGAATTACAGTAAAAACAACAGTAGTTATACTGGATGGCAATGTTCTGCAATAAAACTGGCTTTGGATATAGTACTAAGGGATTCTGATAGATAGCAGCACTACCCAGGTTACAGTCGGTAAAGTAGTGTCGCTATCTAGCAGGAAAGAGGTAAAACAAAGCCCTGTTCCAAACGACCCTGGTGGTGATTTGGGAAACTATATTTTTTATTGTCAGAAAAGTACGTCCCCACGAGCTGCAAAGAAATATAGAACGCTTGTGACGTGCTGGCTTATCCATAGCAACGTTAAACAACATTGAACGGTGACGTTCTGGAACGTTCTTAGCTCCTGGCGCCGTGGCCCGGCTGACGTTCCGGAACGTCCGTAGCAGCGAACGTGTTAAAGTGTAAAGTACTACCACCACGCGATCTTTACCATCCTGTGCTCCCGGCTAAAATGAATGGCAAGTTAATGTTTGTTTTGTGCGCGACTTGTGGAGATGGTCAGATTCAAAGTGATTGCGACCACGAAAGTGGTGACAGAGCACTAATTGGGACGTGGACCATGGACGAGATTCGTAAAGCTGTAGAAAAGGGTTATGTTGTACTCGACATGTATGAACTTTGGGAGTATAAGGTAGCCACATATGAAAACGGTGGGTTGTTCACTGACTTTATAAATAAATTTTTAAAAATTAAGCAGGAAGCGTCTGGGTTTCCTAGCTGGTGTGAAACTGAGGAGGATAAGGATCAGTATTTTGAGGATTATTTTAAAAAAGAGGGTGTCCAACTGGAAAAAGACAAAATTATCAAGAATGGTGGTTTGAGGTCATTGGCTAAACTAATGCTTAACAGTTTCTGGGGAAAATTTGGACAGCGTGAAAATCAGACCAAAGCTACGATTGTCAGGGACCCAAAAACACTTTTCAAAATGTTAACTAGCCCTGAAATCGATGTAATTAGAGTGCAGATTGTTAATGAAGAGGTTCTTGTTGTTAGCTGGGAGTATATTGAGGAGGTTGGGGAGCCATTGCAAAATGTAAATGTTGTGGTGGCAGCTTACACCACTGCCCAAGCGAGATTAAAGCTCTATGAGCATCTAGAAGCCCTGGGTGGTCAGGTATTGTATTACGATACTGATTCTGTACTATATGTACATAAGGGTGGTTTGTACAGAGTTCCCACGGGAGATTATCTCGGTGAAATGACCGATGAGTTGGTCGAGTACGGTCCTGGGTCATACATTGTAGAGTTTGTATCTGGAGGTCCAAAAACCTACGCATATCTTGTGTGGTCGACAAACAAACAAATATTGATTCCCGTATGTAAAGTTAGAGGGCTTACATTAAATATGAAAACTTCTAAAAAAATTGGTTTTGACAGTTTGAAAGAGATGGTCCTAGGTGATGCTGCACAAACAATGGACATTGAGGAAAATAGAATCAGACGAACAAAGGATAGGAATATAGTTACAATCAGTGAAATCAAACAGTTCAAAATTACAGGACCAAAGAGGAAACATAGTAGCAATTATGATACACTTCCATATGGGTTTAAAATTCAAAAAACTCACCAAAATCTCAACTCCTGAATCGTCACTATCACTCAAGTCCTCCCAGTCCTCAATGCCCACCTCGTTCCAGCCATTCCACCCTCCTGGCCCCCAATTAAACCCAAATTCCGAATCTGTGTCTTCGTCTTCTGCTTCTTCAATCAAATTTAAATATGAACGAACCCTACACCATAAGTAATTTTGAATGAAACCATTTACAACCAACACTAGAGAGATCATCTTGGACACTGAACACATGTTGCACATGCTGCACATGTGTAGCGCTCCACTCTCCACTATCGCTACATACCTTAATGGTGGCATAGGCCGTGTTTCTAGGTGGTAACGGTGGCGGCCTGAGATCCACCGGTTGAAGTTCTTCGTATATTGGCTCCACCGGTTTAAGAAACACAAACCTGGTCTTGACAATAAATGGCGACGGCTCGTCGCGTTTGATGGAAAATACCCAGCCGATGCGAAGCACATGATGGCTGAGATCCAACTGGAGTGGGGCTATTTTTAAATGTGTTTGTACATTGAGGCGCTCAAATCTGGAGGGACTTGAGCTACTCCTTGTGCATGTGTGAATGCTATTGGTCACTGGCGCGGCCGACTAAAAAGCCCGTAAACCATGTGTGAATGTTGGTCACTGGCACGGCTGACTAAAAAGCCTGTAAACCATGTGTGAAGGTCACTGGAGCGGCTGACTAAAAAGCCCGTAAACCATGTGTGGAGTGGTGAGTGTCATTCCAATTGGAACCTTTGCACCACCATGTTGTCCCTACTCGAGCTCTCAGCTAGAATGATTACTGATAACCTTTTTCTTTTAAATGCTGTAAAGCAGACAGCAATCCTACCTATGATTAAATATTACATATTCAATTACCACCCTGAAAGCTGTGGCTATGTCTACTACCATATTTGTTTTTTCGACAATGAAGAGTTTTGTAAGGATTGTGGAGAGGCAGCGAATATTTCTTTCCGAAGGTTTAGAACAATTGTATGTGTACCATAATTTATAATTCCAAGAGATAGATGCGCCGTCTGTGCAGCACGTCTATACAATTGGACTAGATTGAGAAGATCTTCCTGTTTACAATCCTTGATCCCATCCTTGAGAAGGTGGTAAGAGAAACTTTGGGGGAACGGAGGCGGCAACTAGTTTGTTTTTGGAGGCCGTCACGAGCTGCGGCGGTGGAGGGGCCGCAGCTTTTCTAGGGGGCAAATAAAAAGACAGTTTATTATATTTGGAACCTTCTAAACATCATGTTGTCCCTGTCCGAGCTTTCAATTAGGAAGATTTGCACAAACTACATCCTTTTACCTTATGTAAAAGAAAGTGTTGATCTTCCATCAACGCTAAGGCAGGACATTTTGAACTATCATAGAGAAAACTGTGGCTACGTAACCCTAAACTTCTACGAGTCTTTTAGAGGCTCTAGTAGGTTATGTATTGACTGTGGAAGAATGGTTGATCTTCCTTCTCGCTTAAGGCGAAGAGGTAACTACATGTATCCAAAGTTTAAAGTCCCAAAAGAAACATGCCGCATTTGCATGGCTCCTTTATTTATCTTCCATAAAGTCACTTGTAAATATTGTAAAAACTAAATGTTAAAAAATTAAAATAATAAACGGAGATGGCAACTAGTTTGTTTTTGGAGGCCATCACGAGCTGTGGCGGCGGAGGGGCCGCAGCATTTTTAAAACTTAATAAATTATCAAAACACTGTTAAGTTGTATCATTTTAACAATGGATGTCAGACGTGCTATAGCTGAAGAGCTACACAAACCTGCTAGAAAGAATTACATAAGACGGAAAGTGACTCTTAAAGGGTTGAATGATTTGTACCAGGCCGATCTCGTAGAGATGCAGCCTTATGCAAAGTTAAATAAAGGTAATCGGTACATAATGACTATGATTAACTGTTTTTCTAAACTCGGTTTTGCAGTCCCGTTAAAAGATAAGACAGGTCCAGCAGTTGCAAAGGCACTTGAACCTATATTGATAAAACATAAGATGAAACACTTTCAAACCGATCAAGGAACCGAATGGTTTAATAAACATATTGGTGCTCTCATGAAAAAGTATAAAATAAACCATTATTCCACGTTTTCCGATTTAAAAGCTAGTATAGTGGAGAGATTTAATAGAACTTTGAAACAGTGGATGTGGAAAGAGTTTACCGCAAAGGGTACATATGAATGGTTGTCATTACTTCCTGATATTCTAAAGCGATATAATAACTCGGTACATAAAACAATTGGTATGAAACCAAAAGATGTTAAACAAAAGAATGTAAAGGAACTATTAAAAAGGATAAACAAGAAGGGAAAAAGGGTGGCACCAAAATATAAACTGGGGGATAGTGTTAGGATAAGCAAGTATAAAAGAGTTTTTACTAAAGGCTATCTGCCAAACTGGACAAACGAGGTTTTCACCATTTACGCAATCAAACCGACAAAACCACCTACATATGTACTCAAAGACCATAATGGTGAAATACTAAAGGGAGGGTTTTATGAACAAGAGCTAAATAAATCAAAGACCGGAGATGTATATTTAGTTGAAAGAGTGTTACAGCGAAAAGGAGATAAAATAAAAGTCAGATGGCTTGGCTTTGACAAGAAAAGTGACACGTGGCTTAGTAAAAGCGACATTCTTATTTAAAGCATACAGCCGTTGACGGCTACATGTAGAACAAGCAATTACGTTTCAGAGACCTATCAAAACACGATATAAAGATTCAACTAACAAGGGAAGAATTTTACATTTTGAGTTGTGACGCTTCACCTGTAACTAGATACATGAACGACTAACATTTTCAAGCTCTGTAATAAACGAATATTTAGTGGATGCTATGGATCAATACCCTGACTCCCAGATTCTACACGGACCGATCGATACATAAATTTTCAATCTAATCTCCTATGAGGTTGAAATGTGATGGAGTATAAAAGACTACGAGATTAATAAGACCATAACGGATGAAGTAAAAGAAAATATTGACAAAACACAGCCTATCTAAGTATGTAACGGTTTGAAATAAAAAAACTAATTTAACCTCGTGGGGGTAGGCCTACTGGGGATGATGCCCACGTTAAATATACATCAACGCGCCTTAACTGTACGGCCTGGTATAGATATAAAACCTACCGTGGTGTGGAAATCAGTTACTTGACATTCTTACCATGGAGCAGAGGGTATGGTCCTCAGACAAAGTTAAAACAATAAAAGAGAAACCATGTGTGATTGAGTTCCAAGCTTTTCGTGGAAATACAAATGAATATGTTGTCAAGGAGTTTGTAATTTTAGATTAATTAACATACGTTGTCTATCCCTTTATTCTTAAACCACCACATCCTTTAAAAAACTTAATACTAAGGCCAAGTTAACTAATAAGTGGGTTACTAAGAATTTTCATCACATTGCATGGACAGCTAACCAACACAGGGACACAAGATGTGGTGGGGGCACAGCTGCGCGCACACAAAGCTTAATATAACACACCGATTGCACAACACGTTACACAAAAGAAACAATGTTCACTTACTATAAAACTGATCCACTACACAATAAATAATCAGACTAACATTAACACTAGAAATAACTTGCAAACATAACCTCAAAACGTCAAACACAAGAGCACACATCCAACACGTTCAATTGCCGAAAGCAAAGTGAAAGAAAATTAGTAATGGAAAGTATAAATAGCAAAAATTGACCAATCACACAACAGATCACCTATTTATGACCAATCAGGTACAAGCTTATTACAACCAATCAGCAACCAGGATACACGCCATTAACATTTCCTTGTTTTGTTACAGAACCGTGATGATGAAGAAGAAGAAGAAGAAAATTTGTAGAAATATAATGTTTGCAAACACTGTTTAGATTAATGTAAATAAAAGATATTAGCAATAGCCATTAAACAACACTTTACAAATGTCCACCATTTCTTCTTAGACATTATTAATTTTTAGATAGAGAAATGTAAATTTAAATCGTAGATATATAGTACTAAACCATAGTATTAAAGCCATTATATACTAGGCAATGTGTTTAATTATCTAAAAAAAAAAAAAAAACATTCAATTTTTATTTTATTTCATATATATCTACATGCTGTAGTCCATTACAAAAGCAAATCAATTGATAATCCACGAATCCAATGTTAAAAACAGCCGAAAGAACGCTTAAGCGGAACTTTACCGTTGAGAATAAAAAACGGCCTTTGTAAAGGCCACCAAATTTTGAACGTTAAATCAACATTTCATAGACGTTATGTCCAGGTCCAGGTGTATATGGCTGTGGCGACTAGCGCCACGTCTTGGGAAGCTCCTGCTCGCTAGGAGCATATACTTCTCGTCTGCTGTGGGTCCAAGCCCTGGTAGCTCAGCTACCTGTAGACGTCAACGTCGTTCTGGGAGTTAGTCGTCGATCCGGGGGCGAAGCTGGGGAACATCCTCAGCGACCAGGTCCCTGATGTGTTCCCACGGAGAGTCATCCGCCGTCTCTTCAAGTCTCGCTCGAAGGCCGTCGACGAAGTCTCGGAGAGTTGTCACTGCTGTGGAGTCCCTGATGACGGAGTTCCTCACGTACCAGGGTGAATCTGTCGCCTGCCGAAGAGCCTTGCTCTGGACGACGAGCAGCCTCCGTCTAGCGGTTCTGCAGGTGAGGTGGTACCATGCAGGGGCTGCGTACGTGAGGACAGGCCGAAGCAGGGCCGTGTAGAGTCGGACTCTTGCAACCGTTGACAACTTCCGTGACCTGAGCAGCGGGCGGATGGCGCCAAGACCTTTCCTGGCGAGGTCGCAGACCCTCTCGACGTGGGGAGTCAGGGTGAGTCGCTGATCCAGCAGGACGCCGAGGTACTTCACCCGGCGCTTCCATGGGATGTCGGCCCCGTCTAGGTGGAGGTGTTGACCATCGTCCTGCCTCCTCGACCTCGTGAAGGAGATGGCCTCACTCTTGTCAGCGTTGACTTTGACTCGCCACTTCGTCAGCCACGGCAGCAACAGGTCCAGCTGTCGCTGGACATACACCCTGGACATCCTCAGGTTGGCGGAGGTGGCAGTGAAGAGCGCATCATCTGCGTAGAGCGATAGCTGCACTCTTGGCGCCAGGGGTATGTCATTGGTGTACCACAGGTAGAGTATCGGCCCGAGAACCGACCCCTGTGGCACACCCGAAGAGACTGGCCGTGGTGTGGAGGTCGCCCGTCCAACGGAGACCCTGAAGCGGCGAGCGGTCAGGTAGCTCTTGATGATCCTGTAGATCGAGCCGGGTAGAGGGGAGGACGCCAGCTTGTAGAGAAGCCCCTCGTGCCAGACCCGGTCGAAGGCTTTGCTCACGTCGATCAGGACTGAGGTCGAGTGGTGCTTCCGTTCCATCGCTCCAGCGATGGTGTTGAGGACCCGCCGCAGCTGGAGGGTGGTGGAGTGGCCCCGCCTGAAGCCGTACTGCTCAGTCCTGATCGAAGAGAAGAACTCCTCGGGGAATCTCGCCAGGATGATCCGCTCCAGCATCTTGGAGAGCACAGGCAGGAGGGAGATCGGCCTGTGGTTCTCGGGGAAGATGTGGTCCTTGCCGGGCTTGGGGATGAGGATGATGTTCGCCAACTTCCAGGTGTCAGGGAAGTGGGCCAGCCTCACGCAGGAGTTGAAGAGGCAGGTGATCACGACAATCACCCAAGCCGGCAGGTTCTTCAGTGCTGGAGTCCCGAGGGAGTCCGGTCCAGGGGCCTTCTTCGGACGGAGTCGAGCGATGTGGCCCTTCACCTCGCTGACGGTCACGTGGGGGATGTCTTCTTCGTCGGAGTCCGGCTCGTAGGTCTCTACGAAGTCGTCCACAACCTCGCAGAAGTCCTCGTCGTAGATGTCTGGGTGTGGGGAAAATTGGTCTTCTAGCGAGTCTGCGAAGGTCTCTGCACGGTCTTCGGGCGAGTAGACGAGCCCGCGTCCCCCATGCAGCGGCCTGTTGTGGGTCTTCGTGCCGCGCAGAGCCTTGGCGATCTTCCAGATGCCGTCATTGGTGTCTGCCTGGCCCTCGACGAAGTCCTCCCACTCCTGGGACCGATGCTCAGCCAGCAGTCGGGAGCACCTCCTAGCCTGCCGGTTGAAGTCCGCCTTCGCTCGAGGGCAGCGGGACTGTTGGTACGCCCTCCTCAGGCGACGTCGCAGGGCGATCTCCTCCCGCAGCCCCTGGGGAAGTGGCGGGGGGGCCCTCGGGTCAACGTCAGAGCTGGCGGCAACCACAGTGTCCTGCAGCAGCGTTGTCAGGCCCAGGACTTGCTGGTCGAGCTCCTCCGTGGTCGCAGGTGGCGGGGGAGGCGGCTGAGGGGCGTTGGCCAGGAGGTTGGCGAACTTCGCCCAGTTCACCCTCTTCCTGCGGACCGGAGGGCGGTCGGGGACTCCTCCCTGCGGCAGATCGAAGATCACCGGGACGTGGTCAGAAGAGAGGTCGGAGACGACGAAGACTTCAATCGGGCCATCGAACGAGCCAGCCAGTCCGATGTCCAGGATGTCGGGCGGGTGTCCAGCACGGGAGTAGTGTGTGGGGTCGGCCGGGGCAACCACGTTGATGTGAGGGTGGGCGGTGAGGTAGCGCCTGAGAGCAGCTCCAGTGAAGTTTCCTCTCCTGCAACCCCAGTCCAGGTGTTTGGCATTGAGGTCGCCTGCCAGAAGCGCCGGGGTGTCGGGGGGCAGCAGCAAGTCCAGGAGTCCGGGATCAAGGCGTCTCCCTGGGGGGTTGTAGGCAGAGGAGATTTCCAGCTCTGCACCGTCGTGCTGGAGGGCGATGGTCGTCACCTCGATGCCAGGCGGGAGGTTCCTGACGATCGGTCTGTGGGTGACCCGACGATGAACCAGTATCGCCGAGCCACCACTGGCACGTTGTTGCAGAGGCCTGTCTGTCCGGTGAGTGTAGTAGTTTCGGACGTTGAACCTGTCCCCACCGCGCAGATGCGTCTCCTGGATGAGGGCAACGTCAACGTCCATGTCAGTGAGGAGTTGTGTCAGCTCATGGCGTCTGTCGGCAAGCCCGTCGGCGTTCCACGTGAGGATGCGAAGTCTACGCATGATGTTGGGTCAACTGGTCAACAAGTCGCTCGACGACGACCAACATGCTCCTCAGCGTGGAGATGAGTTGAGCCAGCTCAGACTGCTGCGACGGGCTCTTGGACGACTGGGCCGGGGTTGAGGCCGGCTCGATGGGCTGGGCAGGGGTGCTGGGCTGCGGGGCAGGGCTGCTGGGCTGCGGGGCCGGGCTGCTGGGCTGCGGGGCTGGGCTGCTGGGCTGCCGGGCAGGGCCGCTGGGCTGGCGAGGAGGGACTTCTAGGCGAGCGCGGGGAGTTCGCCTCACTCGAGGGTTTGGGGTCTCAGCCGGGGCGGCGGACTGCTCCACAGGAGGGGTGGGTGTTCGGGGTCTCGGGCCGGTAGCTCCGCCACGGTTGTCCGGGTTTCGAGGAGCCCGACGACGTCTTCTCCGCTGAGTCCGGAAGCCCTCGTCATCGACCTCGGGAGCTCCAGGCGCCTCTTCGTCCACAGGGTCAGGTCTCGGAGCCGGCGGGTCGACCCGGCGCGGTTGACGGCCCGACGGTGCCGTTGACGACTTCGCCGCAGCCGCGTACGTAGCCCGTTGCTGAGTTTTGAAACAGGTGCAGCCCCTGTAGTTGGCGGTATGGGCCTCTCCACAGTTGCAGCACCTCGCCTGGGCTGCTGGCTCCTTGGGGCACTCAGTTGCTGGATGGTTGTCCGCGCAGCGGACACAGCGGACCTGGCGCTGACACTGCCCCGACCCGTGTCCGAAGCCCTGGCAACGGTGACATTGGATGGGACCGTTGGGCCGCTTATACTGCCGCAGAGACGTTATGTATTGTTAGGATGATTGTAATCTGAATAATGTTGATTCCTAGCAGTTGGCTGTGTATGAAGCTGTATATGCGCCAGAGTTTCATGGGTTCGATCCTTACCAATCACAATTACAATATTTGTTGCGTCTTATTTACAAATACCTATAATATACTGCAGTCCATAACAATGACAATACAAATGATAATTCACGTATCCAATGTTAAAAACTACTGAAAGAAGGCTTAAACGGAACTTTACCATTGAGCATAAAAATGGCCTTTGTAAAGGCCACCAAAATGTTGGATGTTCCAAGTCCAAGTCCAAGTTCATATGATTGCGGCGACTAGCGCCACGTCTGGGGGAAGTGCCTGCTCGCTGGGAGCATATACTTCCGGTCTGCTGTGGGTCCAAGCCCTGGTAGCTCAGCTACCTGTAGACGTCAACGTCGTTCTGGGAGTTAGTCGTCGATCCGGGGGCGAAGCTGGGGAACGTCCTCAGCGACCAGGTCCCTGATGTGTTCCCACGGAGAAACATCCGCCGTCTCTTCAAGTCTCGCTCGAAGGCCGTCGACGAAGTCTCGGAGAGTTGTCACTGCTGTGGAGTCCCTGATGACGGAGTTCCTCACGTACCAGGGTGAATCTGTCGCCTGTCGAAGAGCCTTGCTCTGGACGACGAGCAGCCTCCGTCTAGCGGTTCTGCAGGTGAGGTGGTACCATGCAGGGGCTGCGTACGTGAGGACAGGCCGAAGCAGGGCTGTGTAGAGTCGGACTCTTGCAGCCGTCGACAACTTCCGTGACCTGAGCAGCGGGCGGATGGCGCCAAGACCTTTCCTGGCGAGGTCGCAGACCCTCTCGACGTGGGGAGTCAGGGTGAGTCGCTGATCCAGCAGGACGCCGAGGTACTTCACCCGGCGCTTCCATGGGATGTCGGCCCCGTCTAGGTGGAGGTGTTGACCATCGTCCTGCCTCCTCGACCTCGTGAAGGAGATGGCCTCACTCTTGTCAGCGTTGACTTTGACTCGCCACTTCGTCAGCCACGGCAGCAACAGGTCCAGCTGTCGCTGGACATACACCCTGGACATCCTCAGGTTGGCGGAGGTGGCAGTGAAGAGCGCATCATCTGCGTAGAGCGATAGCTGCACTCTTGGCGCCAGGGGTATGTCATTGGTGTACCACAGGTAGAGTATCGGCCCGAGAACCGAACCCTGTGGCACACCCGAAGAGACTGGCCGTGGTGTGGAGGTCGCCCGTCCAACGGAGACCCTGAAGCGGCGAGCGGTCAGGTAGCTCTTGACGAGCCTGTAGATCGAGCCGGGTAGAGGGGAGGACGCCAGCTTGTAGAGAAGTCCCTCGTGCCAGACCCGGTCGAAGGCTTTGCTCACGTCGATCAGGACTGAGGTCGAGTGGTGCTTCCGTTCCATCGCTCCAGCGATGGTGTTGAGGACCCGCCGCAGCTGGAGGGTGGTGGAGTGGCCCCGCCTGAAGCCGTACTGCTCAGTC